TATACCTGCCGGTTAGAAAGATTAGATATAGTAGATAGATTAATAATTATAGATTAATTAATAATATATATATTTCTTTTATACAAATAATATACAAAGTATAATATACTTTTAATTATAATATAATAATATTATCTAGATTTAGCTTATCTACTTAACCTGTTTAATCTATTTAATTTATTTAATCTATTTAATTTATTTAATCTGTTTAACCTCTTTTTTTGTGATTCCAAAAAGTATATTATACTTTAAAAAAAATATTTACAGAATCTAGTATAAAAAATATAAAATTTAATATTAAATAAACTAATAAAATCATACTATTCTTTATACTATCTAGAATAATAATTATAGTAGTAAAAAATTAAAAAGACCGGGTCTCTATTTTTATTTAAGTATATATAATATTTAAAGACTTAGATAAAGCTAGCTTTTCTATTTCTAATAATAATCTATTTTTTAGATTATTTTTAAGATTATCTATATTCTTATTTTTACTAATATAAAAAATAATAATTATTTTATTCTTTTTTTATTTCTTAGGTATAAAAATAATCGAATTTAAATTAAGATTATTAAAAATATTCTAGTATTTTTTATTAATAGTAAAACAATCAGTATATATCTAAAATATTATTATTTTAATTATATTAGAATAAAGACAGCTTCAGCAATAGTAGCAGATATTTTAAGAATTATTAAATAAATATTTAATACTAATACTATTGGTAGCAACTAAAAAAAAATCTTTAATTATTTAATAAAAAATAAAAAACTAATTACAGCAGGACTTCCAGTAAATAAAAATATTAATATATTCTATAATATCTAGAATAGTATTAGTTTAATTAAAAATATTTTAATAAGCTATATATTTTTAATATCTAAATATATCTTAAGTTTTTTAAATATTTTAGCTGCCGGTAAGAGTTTTCGGTATTTAAAAATATTATAAAAGGCTTTATCCAGGCCTAACAGTAACCCGGAGATAATTAATAATATATTAATAACCAGATTCTAACTATAATAGAAATAGAATATTTTTTTAAAAATAGTTTAGTACTTAAAATATTAATTAATATTATTATTTAGCCAGATATTCTTTTTAAACTTCTTAAACTTTAACATCAGATTTAAAATAGTTATAATTATATAAATATAGCCTTCTATTTGGTAAATATAATAATAGTATTTTTAGAGTTTTTAATATATATTTTATAAATCTTTAAAAATTTTTTTTTTCTAGAGTACCTACTTTTTTACTAGTCGGTTAATTAAGTAATCTAAATAATTAAAAAGATTATTATAAATATTATAAATTTTATAAACAGTAGGCCTACTGTTCTTAGATAAATATAATATAAAAAAAAAAAGAAGTATAAAAGCTTAAAAAGATATTCTATCTATTTCTATTTAATTATAGTAGAATAAAAATAATTAATATTATTATAATTATAATACTAAATAAAACTATTAATTATTTAATAAAAATTAAATATCCGGTAAATTATAAAATAGATTAAGTTCCAGCAAGTTTTATAGTTAAAAAAAAGATAATAAACCAAGCCTAATTTAAATTATTAAATAAACTAAAACTTTTTATAATATTAAAAGCTTATATTTATAAATTGTATAATCTTCCGAATCTATAATTAAAAATTAGTATTATTAGCTATTATTAAAAGAAAACCTTTAGAACCCGTTTATAAAAGACTAATTTAAATAGTTTCTATTATAATAGAAGCTTTTTGTATTAATCTTTTATAAATAGCTTTTAGAATATATTTTTTTAAGAATTCTTAAAATACCAGAAAAGGTTTTAAAATTTTTATTATAATTTTTTTATATATATTCGATAGTACTATTTAAGGCCTTAATCTAAAGTTTCTACAGAAAAATATTAACTACAAGCTAAATTATATAAATAAAATAGAATATATAATACTAGTTTTAAATAATTATTACAAGATTAGGGTTAAATAAAGTATTATAAAGCTGGGTGCTTTGGCTAAGCTGAATCCAAAGTTTAGATAAGATTATACTAAATATTAAACTATTATTACTAGTATTATTAGTTATTATATCTAATAATTAATAGAATAAATTATATTTGTATAAAACTAATAAAATAATTATAGCTAGATTTTTACTAGTATAAGATTTAAATACCAGTCGGAAGCCTAATAAAACTTTATAATAATTTATATTTTTTATTAAAAAATATTTAGTTAAAATAAGAAATATTTTCTAATTAGAACTAATTTAGTAGTTTACTATAACTAATATTCTTTTAATATTTAAGAACTTTAATAACAGCTATATATATATATTTTTTAATAATTTTAAGAAATATTCTTTAATCTGTACTTAATTAAAAAAATTTGATTTTCAGCAGAAAAATAAAATTATAAAATTAATTATCTATTTAAATTAAATATACTTAACAGTTCGGAATAGTAGATAATAGATAATTATAAAATATAAAACTTAATTCTAAAAGTTCTGTTTATTATAAACTGTAAAAACCTAGAAAAAATAATAATTAAAAAAGATTTATATTAAAAGAATAAATAAATATCTATAATAGCCCTTTACTTAGTATCTAACTAATTATTTATTTAAATACTATTAATAGTATTTTCTTTTTATAATTCTTGTAAAAATAATAGCTTATAAAATTAGTTTCTAAGTTTTTAATTTCCGGGTGTTACAGAATATAAAGACAGGTAATATAATAAATATAAAAAATTTTATTAAAAAATAATATATCTTTCTGAAAGTTATTTTATATTATTAATATCTTCTTTTAACTAAAATAAAATAATAGTTTTCAAATTTATATACAGGCTTTAAAAAAAATTGTCTTCTACTATTAATTCTAAAAAATAAAATATTTTTTTTTATAAATTAGATATAAAATAATCTTTCAATTTTTTACAACACACATAATCTAAAGATTTAAAAAAAAAGAAAAGATCTGGCTTAAAAAGCTTATCTTAGTTTAAATATTATTATAGTTTATAAATATCTAAAAAATAGAAAAAGAAAATTTAATAATATTCTCTAAAAATAAGCCAGATAACTGTAATTAACTTATAATTCTAAGACTACTTTATAAATAATAACTATAGAAAAAAAAAAATAGAAAATTCTGCAAAAACAGTTTATTTTATTTTAAAATATACTTTTATATAAATATAATCTATTATATTTTAAATATAGCTAAGACGCTTGCTGTATTTTATTTATTTTAGTCGGTTAGATTAGTTAGGTTAGTCAGATTACTTTAATATTTATAGAAAAAATCTAAAAAAGACTTATATAAAGTTCTTTATAAAAAATACAATATTTATAAAAGCTGTTTAAATAATTAAAAACTAATTTATTTAGTACTAAGATATAAGAATTTTAAGCATAAAAAAAAAAAGAAAAAAGAAGAAAAATATAAAAAAACTTCGGAATATATATTATTATTACACGAAAGAATTAGTTAAACTAAATAAATAAAATAAGATTAGTATAATTAATAATAAGTTTCTGGAATACTTAGAGTTAAAAAAATTAAATAAATTAAAAAAATTAACTAAGTAAAAAGAATAAAAAAGGTTAACTAGATTAAAAAAATAAAAATAATAGACTATTCTTATAGTATCTAGTATTTAATAAAGTAGTTATTAGAAAGTACGGTTGCCGAAAAAAACTATATAAATAATATTATACAGATTTCTTTTTAAATTTAATCTATTATACAGACAATTCAGCTTTTTTAGATAAAAATAAAAATATAATAAACTATCTAAGCTAAAGTAAGAAGAAGAATAATAGAATAAAAACAGTATATTTATTTTTAATAGTCTGATTATTAGTAAATATACAGTTTTTCTAATATTATATATTATAATTAAGATATACAGCTTAAACCGAGCTGTAATTATATATTTTTATATATATTTTTTACTGTAAGAACTATAATTTTATAAAAAGCTAAATTTTATTAATACTATTAAAAATCTCTGATTAATTCTTTAAAATAGAAATAAAAAAGATACTAATACTTTTCTTAATTATTTTTTTCTAATTTTAAAAGCTTATTTCTATATACTTTTAGACAATAGTTAAGATGGTCAGGTTAATAACCGCTTAATCTAAATATACTTTAACCGTGCTAGAACTTAAATAAATATAGCAGACAAGTCTTAGTATTAAGAATAGTTAAAACAGTTAATTATTTTTTTTTTAGCTATACTGCGGTCAGATATAAAAATTTCCTTAACCTAACCATAACCTGGCGGTCAGGTATAAAAATTCCAATTAACCTGACCTGACCTGGCCGTTAGCCACTCTAGGTCGGCTGCTTTAGTTTTAGAGTTTCTGTAGTAGCCTGGTATTTATTATAGTTATAGTAGAGTATCTCGGGCTTTTAACTTACCAGCTGAGTAGTAAATAGTTAAAATAATATACTAATCTAATTTATTCTATAAGTTTCTGATTATCTATAAAATAGATATACTATTACTAAAAATTATTATTGGTTTATGATTTGTTTCTGTGCTTCTTTAGTTTTTCTATGCTAGCTGAAATACTAATCTAATAGTATAGTAAATTATTATAAGCTTAGTTTTATAGAGTGACCAGTACTTTATCGAGCTAATACTAATTTATCGAGATTTTAGAACCTGTAGATTACAGTCTAGAACTACTGCTGCCGCACCCAGTTGATTCTGCTTTCCTAAGGCATCTGAGAAGACCGTGATACTGGTTGCTGATTTTTATCTTGCCAGTGCCCTGGCCTTGACTATACGGTATAAGATTTAGCCTATTTCTACTCTCCTATGTATTTAAGCTTTTACAATAATAGTATACACAGCGCTTTTACCCCAGCCTTACTGAATAAATTTCAATCTTCACTATAGCACAAGTATGTTCGGAGCAAATGGATTGATGTGTACACTCAGCTCCAAACAAGCAGAAACGATTTTAGAAACGTGAGAATAATACCCTTAAGATGTGCAAGCGCCATTAACACATTGTAATCCGCCATCGGCTGGGACGGGACAATTTTTGACTCTGCCCCAGAGCACTTCTGTCTCACCACCCTCGCCGTCAATCTCAGGTGCTAGGACAGGAGTGCATTCCAACTGCAAAATGTCAGAAAAGAAAACGAGCAATTTATCCAAATAACTTACAAGGTAACCCTCATTACATTCGCAAGCAGTCTCGCCCCAATCGTTGCAATAATCGCCCGGGGTCGCGCAGGCAGATACTTGGCTGGAAAAGAGTCCCAAGGCAAAGAGAACGAGAACGGATTTCATGGTGATGAAATTTCACGTGAAAAAAACCTGACAAATTGCTCTGCTATTATCTCAGGATGTTAGAATAGCAGCGACTATTGGCTGTCCGTTCGAAATGAGAATCACCTTCAAGGTTTGCTTTTGTTTATGCTTGATCTGTGAGCCTTCAGAGAACAGTTTCTAGAGGAAAAGGCCGGACGGACTATTTATATTCATCGAATTCCAAGAATCAGGCCTGACTCTCCGACGACTTAAAGGCCGAGTTTTGACTGTTTCCTCACGCTTTCCAATCACAGCGCATTCAGAACCAGCACTATCAGGACCGGCGAATTGAGGACTAGCGTATTGAGTGAATGCCGTCGGTGAATTGAGACATAAATCTTTATCCGGAGGGAAAATTGTTTTATTGTGGAATAAGATCCGATAATGTCCGAAAAAAGGACGGGTAAGCACTAGCAGATGGTTAAAATTGCATTTCTTTTTACCTGGCTGGGAGTTCATGATTCCTGAAGGACTCTTGAAGGATCCACAATGCGCCCACGAGTCGATTACAGAGACTAGAGCCTCGTATTTGGCCCCATAGCCGCTAAACTTCTCAGTGCTCAAGAAACCGCTAGCAATATCTGATTACGGAAGCAACAATTCGAAAGGCTAAAGAAGGTGGGAAATGCACTAGGCCGAGGAGGTCAATGTCGTGCTTGTTACTCCTGGCAAATTTCTTGGAAGTCCTGAGTTCCCAAGGACAACAAACACCGGCAAAGTCGCCTTGCAAGTATAAAATCAATTGTACCAAATATACGGGCTCACTTTACATAGCAGGCTCTTTTGATATGATCTTCAAGTTCTCTTTGCATGCTTTCAAAAGCCGACAATCGGCTAACGGAAAATATGAGCCTATACGCGGTATAGTCGTGGACAATGGCAAATCTTCCTGCTCAAACTGCGGGCAGCCCATGGAGTCGATATCTTCTTGTCCAAAGGATATTCTGGGTTATGGCTGGGTTGGCCTAGTTGTGGTTGCTTCATTCCTTCTTGGCGCCGCCATGTATATCACACATCGCGCTTCTGCAACATGTACCAATTTGATTCATCCCGGATTGATGAAATTGTATGGAGACAGTAAGTCGTTTCGCTTAGGGCTGGCTCCCAAAATACAGTTGCAAGGCTTCAAGCTGATTTGCCTTGATTCAGTACCTATTGTCGACACGTTGTTTATGGAAAACCATGACTACGAAGTCACGGATCCCTACGATGGTGCCTGGAATGCGCCGCTCTCACCCTTGCATACCATCTGGGATGATTTATATAATGGTAAGATAGATGTCGAAGAACATATTATGCCGTTTTATAAATGACTAACAGGTGACTTTTTAGGTGCTTGGGTTGAGATACCTGAGCCTGCGAAATATGGGCTTTCGGGGGGGATTCCTCTGCAGAAATTCCATCTCGGCAATCCGTTATCCGAGCGAAGTGAAGGTTATGTTATATCATTACTTCACCAGCTTCACTGCGTTGTATGTCTTTAATTACTTTCCCGGGATGTGTCAATACCAAGCATAATGTCTTGACTGACATGGAGGTGTCAGGGCGAATTGAAACATATACTCCTCGACTGGGAGAGGTATGGCAACATTACCACACTGAAACATGGTACGCACTGCGTGGAATATCTCCGTCAAGTAAGTTCAATCTGGCGATTACACCTAACAGAACCGGGACAAGTTGAGACTAAAAACCTTCTTCCTAGGCCGTCATGTGCAGTGCCGATTTGTCACTCGAAAAACCGAGATACCTCAGTAATGCCAGCTTTCAAGGCTCCAATGGCTGGGATGCAGTCCATAAATGCCGAGATTGGTCCACTGTACAGGCTTTCATTTCGTCCCACAGGATTTTTAAGCTATAGGATGTTGGAGAAAATTTGACCGCACTGCTTTCGCGAATTAGAGGTTTTGAGTGGAATAACACTTTGTATTGCCCCTTCCCTCGCTGGGCCCTTGACTGTCTCGGAGGTGTAGCGAAGGGTTGATCATCTTGGATGCTGCTTTAAAAGTGGATCCAGTTGAATAGAGGTGGAGGGCTATGGAAAGAAAAGAGGAATGTTACCTGTATTTAGGTCGTTGAAACCGAGATCGATATTTAGCTTTTACTCCAATGTATAGAGAAAAAATGCTTCTCTTCCTCCATCAACGATTGCCGTTCTGGGCTCAAGCCGTATGTATCTCCCGCCAGCAAACCATCTGCAACCCTCCTATACCAGGGTCTCAACTTGCTAATTACGCCAATTTTTTCCCGTTCACTTCTTTTGAACATCAATAATTATATAGTTTTTCTTTCTCTGCTCCAAGCTTGTAATACTTTGTAATAGGACTAATCGATGTGTCTTAAGCTAATAAATGCTGTACTCTTTGCTTGAGCCACCATTAAACAAATATTTAAAAGTGGTGCGTGTTCGCCGAAGTAGAATAACTCACAACATACTACGCGATATTCTGCGTGAATGAACAGTCGACGATCTATGGCCTGCCATCGGAGATGTTGATCCCTGGCACCAGCATCCACGACAGTAGCCTGGCTTCATGCGTCTATCGGTATCAAACACAAAGAACCCCTTATGGTGCCTACTGGCCTGGCTCCGGCTCATCTACGTGACATTTCATATCCATATTCATGTAAAAGGCTGAAGATTTCGCATCTTTTAAAGGGATCTGAAAGCTAGATTGACACTATATCGTCATTATGGAATTTCGATTGCTACCTTCGTTCTGGTACTATATACATAACTAAGACTTCAATATCAATTACTTAATGCAATGACTAATGTTTTGTCCCTACTATACGAATTCTTCCCACTATTTCAAAACCGAGTCTAGTCGTGCCGACTGACGAAGCGTGGAAGAGGCGTGAGAGCTTCCTATCACGAGAAACTCTCTCTACAGTCAAGCTGACCGGCCGGGACGATGTGGTACGCCTGGCGCTATGAAGTTTCTGCGACGCCACCTTATCCCGCCTGGCGAAGGTGATTCTGTCGTCTGAGTGGGGTCAATCCGTAACTACGTGGTGTCTATATTAATAGCTGAGTCGTGACGAACCGTCGCGACAGTTTCTTCGGAGCATTCTGCGGTTTGTAGTAAGGGGTCCCGCGGCGGACGCTAGAGGCCATCTAAGGCGGTCTCGTTTAAATTATGCGTGTCAGCAAGACTAATCCTAAATCCTTTGATAAACGCTGAACTTACTAGATACAGCATAAAGTACTACGTCCTAGGCCGCGTTTTCCTAGCCACTCCTCTATATAAGCTAGTTTCGATAACACTCTACACTTAACCTATTGTAAAACCACGCTTTTTATTAGAATAATGGCGCATCTAGATTAGTAGAAAACCATATTAAATGTTTTTAATTTCGTCACTAGGAGTAACGCTATAGAGCGTTAAGTCTTATATACTCGCCCAGATGTTTATAAAGAAGGGAAGGATTGATAGCCGGGCCGGCGATACGTAGTATAGAATATTATAATACGACCCAACAGAAGAGTCTCATTTCCAGGGGCCCTGTAATTAAATCAACGCGCAAAAGTGACAACAAAATAAACGATAGAAGGAAGATTTGTGCAAGCGCTGCGCCCCCAAACCCCAGTAAGCTAATTGGAAAGAATTTCAAGAATTATCAATCTAAAGCAACGTCAGCCAATGAAAGAGTATCATCAATTCAGTTAGGCTTATGTCAAGCCTCCGGGACCGGGGTGGCTGTCGGTACCGACTCTAAAATCATTGGATTTGGTGGAACTTGAGTCAGTCACTATAAACACAGTGTTAATACGAATATGAGGTCTTGGCTCCTGCAGAGGCGAACACAAAAAGAAAAAGTGGGCCACGCCTGAATTACCCCAAACGAACTAGTGCGTTTGCTTATCACTGTCACTAATCCCTACGCTTGAATTACCCCAAACGAACTAGTGTGTTTGCTTATCACTGTCACTAAATTTCGGTTACGGACAATGCTCCTCGGTGCTGTAGCCATAATCACGGCTCTGAGTACCCATGTAATACAGTACTCCACCCGAACAACAAGATTCGGTACCAGAGTGGGATACAAGGGTTGATGACTGGGAAGGAACTGATATATATTATTTCATCGAATGGAGGGTGACTCTGAATAATTGGATAGTAGTAAAGAATATAGAATAGGACCTGATACTCGACCCCAGTTTTTATTAGTCCGATATTAAGCAGAAAGCGGAGAATATTCTACGTTGGAAGATAGCTCGCAACCGACGGGTAAGATTAGATAATACTATAGTAGTAACGTAATCGTCAACCGAGCGAGCCACGCAAGCGAGCGAGCTAGCAGATCCACCAAATGCAGCACCAACATGGATTTTTGATTTGTATACAAATATATAGTATTTTAAAGCTTTAGTTATACTATTTTAAACATCTTTTTATATAGTTCTTTGACTTAGATATATTATATAAATATATATTCTTGAATACTGTACTCGCTGCATCTGGAAGATACCCGGCAGTAAGATTAATTTTAATCTTTAATCTAAAAAGCTTTATTTTTTTTATATTTATATTAAAATATCTTTTTTATTTTGTTAATAGTAAGGCTGTTAAGGCCTGTAAGCTGCTTATTTTTTTATTATTTTTTAGTATTTAATTTTTTATTCGTCCAGGTAGAGTGGATTAACCTGACTGTTATACCTTAACCTTAACCTGGCCATAACCTGGCGGTCAGGTTAAGATATAAAATCAGATTAACCGTCAGGTAGAACGGTTAACCGCGGTTAACCGTTATACCTGGACTAGTCTTTAAAAGACTAGTTTAGGCAGAAATCAGATAGAAATAAGCTAAAATCAGGCCAAAATCAGACAGCTATATTCTGTTTTTTTTACCGCCTTTTAAAATAAGCTTAGTTGCGAATTAGACCTACCGGTTAACCGCAGGTTAAGCTGGTTAGGAATATATATATTTTTATACCTGACCATAACCTGCGGTCAGGTATAAAAATTTTAATTGACCTGACCTGACCTGGCCGTTAGCCACTCTACGTCCAGCGGAGTTCTCGAACTTTCTATTTTATTAAAATTATCTGGTTTAATAATATCTCAGTATCTTTAAAGATATAGTTCAAGACTGACTTTATTAATATATTAATTATACTACTAAGTAGTTATCCAAGTCTTGTCTTTTATTTTTTAAACTAATTTATATTAACAGATATTTTTAAAACTATTAACCGAGAATTTTAGCTGCTTGGCCGGCTATTAAAATTCTTATAAATTAGCTTGTTAAATATCTGGCTTAGATTGTATAAAATTAAATCTAAAAATTTAAAAATACTCTGTATATTAGTTTTTTTAAATATTATAGTATAGATCTTTGGATACTTTTCTAAAAAATTATTTTTATTAATCTTTAAATATTAGGTACATGCAAGATGTTTTATTAAACTATAATATATTTTTTAAGAGATATAAAATAAAAGATATCTAACAGCTGGTAGAAATACAATAAACCAGAAAATATATAAATAAAAATAATATAATTAATATAATATAAGTTGTTAAACTTAGATATTAAATATAATTTATAGCTATTAAGAATTAATAAAATATATTTAATAATTTGTCGGTTGATTATTTATAGAATAAAATAATATTTAAATTTATATAAGCTGATTTTATTGCTTGTTCAGCTATTTAAAAATATATTAATTTTTTAATTGTTCGGAATTAAGATTTTATACTAGCTTACTATATAATTTATTTTTTTAAAAATTAAGTATAGCTTTAATATTCAGCCGGCGGCGTTGATATACTTAATTAAAGTTATTTATTTACAGTTATCTAGCTGTATAAAAAAGGTCTTTTTAAATAATTTAATTAAATAACAACTTTAACTGTTACAATTTAGTCTATTATAAAGCCCGTTTTATTAAAATTAAAAATATTTTTCTAAGAATTTTATATTTTAATATAGTCTCTTAAATATAGTTAAACCAGGTTTATATAATTTATAAATTCTTATACTTCGCCTATTTAATATTCAACTAGCGGAAATAACAACTTTTTAAGACTTTATAGTATATAATAAAGTTTATAATCTATTTTTTTATAATTATTAGTCTTTTCTGATTTTTATGCTTTTAAATAAATATATTAGCTATTTTCTAAACTGTAGAGCTTTTTAGAAGTATACCGCAGATATTAAATAAAAAATTCTACTTTTTAAATATTTTTTTGCAGTAAGTTTACAAGTATTAAAACAAGTTTCTTAATAAAATAAACAACTATTTATACAGTATTAAAAAGTTAAGCAAGAAATATTAAAAATATTAGCAGTTTTATAAATTAAGATAACTTGACCGGTTTTTATAATTTTAAAGATAAGGCAGATTCGGCTCTCTTAATATAACAAATCTTTAAATAATTTTCGTATTTTAAGTAGTATAATTGACCGCTGAATTACTTTAGTTCTTGAAGATAGAAGGATTCATGGGGTGGTGGCTCGCTCGCTTGCGTGGCTCGCTCGGTTGACGATTATGTTAGTTTTTATAAATAATCACTTACAGCAGGATCTGACTAAAGATTTTGAGAAGACTGATATTAACTAGACAGCTGTATAAAGACAGCTTGCTATATAGAAAAGCTTGTTTTAATGTTAGGAACTACTTGATACAGTAGATATACTGGTTAGACAAGGCAAGTAAGATAGTTAAAAGCAGTCTCTTATTAATTTTAAAACTAATTCTTAAAAAATCTTTTTTTCTAAAGAATCTCAGAACAATATATTATATAAAAAAAAAGATAAGTAATATAATAATATAAATATTTAAATTAAAATCTTAATAAATCCATATTAATTTTAAAGCAGCTGTTATAGTAGTAAATATAAACTATTATAATAATAAATATTATATAATAATTATACTTTTCTGTTAAGCCGGGCTATCTAATATAGTAATATAGCTATAAATAATTTTACTATTTACTTTAATTAAATATTTCTGCTAGTAGTATTCTCTAAATAATAAAGTTTAATACTATAATAATAAAAGAATTATTTAATAAACTATATATTTTATAAATAAAAGATTCTAAAATAATAAATAAAGTATATATTTTATTAATAATCTGATTAAAATCCGACGTAAAGTATATATATAAATAAAAAAAATTAATATATTTTTATTTATTTTTATATCTCGATTTTCTACTGAATTTTTTTTTTATATTTATTTTTCTTGTTGTTTTTGCTCTTATTTTTATTATTTATTTAATATTTATTTATTAATTTATTTTCTTAAAATTCTTATTTTTATTATTTTTTAATATAATATTAATAATTACTTGCTATTATTTAACTGATATACCTATTATATC